ATAATTGACTTTCTCTGCTTGACTTATTTCACTTAGCATAATCTCCTCCAGTCCCATCCATGTTGATGTAAAAGTTGGGTATTCATCCTTTCTGATGCCTGAGTAATATTCCATTGTATATATGGACCACATCTTCTTTATCCATTCATCTGTTGAAGGGCATCTCGAGGAGCACACTTATCTTGATGAACGCTGAGTGATGAATAGAATTATTGAATCATTATATTGTACATCTGAAACTCATATAAAACTATGTTAATTATACTTGAATAAAAAATCTATAATATTGATACATGAAAAGAATTATGTAAAACATATTGAGTTACGGATGGCATCGTGATAACATTCTCAAGTGAACTAGAATGTATTTCTTTAATTCCATCTCCACTATCAGTTTAACGAAAGTTATCATCTCTGCCTAGACTATTGTAGTAACCTCATTATCTGGTTTAACGCCCTCAAGTTCAATTTCCACACACAGAGTTATTTCCTAAAAATCCTTGATTAAAGTCTGTCAGAGCCTTCACACTCACTCTGATTAAATCCAGATAGTTACCATCACCTACAAAGCTCTGAGTAGGCAGGCTGTTGTCTAACTCTGATACCAGTCTCCTGCTCACTGAGGCTTCAGCATAGCAGCCTCCTTTTCATTTCTAGAACACATTTCATTCTTTTCTGTGTCTGGTCCTTTGCCTGGAATGCTTCTCCTTTCCTCTTCCCTTGGCTGGTTGCTTCTGAATCTTCAGGGCTCAGCTTTAATGTCCCCCCCTCAGAAGCCTTCCCTGACCATACTCTCTGAAGGAGGCACCTTTATCTCCATCCCAGTTACTCTTTCATATCCCCCAGTTGATCTCATAACTGAAGGTTGTTACAACCATTATTTAGCTTCTTTTTATTTATATACTTGTTAATTTCTCAAAAATTTAATCTTCGTGATGGCAGGGACCTGGTCCATCTTACTCATTGCTGTAGACCTAGTGCCTAACCCAGGACACAGAATACAGAAGTCCGATAAACGTCAGTTAAATACATAAATAAGTACTGTATTTTGATTCTCAACTGATTCCTTGTTTGTATTTTCAATTAGCGAAGAACCTGGAGAAGAGGAGGGTTCCCCCCAAATTTCAGCAGGCTTGCAAGTGAAGAAAGTTAAATAATGAGTCAATAGGTTTGGCTTAAAAGGAACCAGTGGTGACGCTTAGGAAAGCATTTTCAGGAAAATTAATGAAGGAAGAGATGTCAGAAAATGGTTAAACAAATGAGAAAAATGTAAAGTTAACTGGAGAGGACAGAACTGAAAGGAGTGCTTCATGCATGTTTGAATGAAGGACTAAGTATGAAGATCATGACCTCAAGAAAGCAAAGTAAGATGGGACTGGGAATCAAAAGTAGAGAATAGAGAGAGAAGGAGAAGCAATAGGAGAGGGAAAAGGAGAGAGAGAGCAAGGGAGGGAGAGAATCTCTTCTTCTGAGATAGTTTTGAGCAAGGATACTCCCCAAAATATTTCAGATGTTCTGCTCCATCCATAACCTATAAACTTGAAATAAATCCAGTCCTCCTCGTTCTTATTAACTCACCTGGATAGGGGGTTCTTGCAATTTCTCTCACTACAACCCATGGTCCTTTTCCATCCTCCAAATGAGATATCATGTCTGGTTTGGAAACTGCGAGCCCTGTTCAGAAAAAAATGAATAGGACTTGACTGTGTCTATGAGTAAGAACTATTGCCACATTCAGTCTCAGCTCTTAATCTTCAGTGCAGAGTGGCTATTAGGGGAAGTTCTAGGGATGCACTGCCCAATAGAGCTGTCAACAGCCACATGTGGCTATTTAAATTAGTTAAAACTATGTAAAATTTAAAATTCAGTTCTTCAGTTGGACTAGCCAGATTTCAAGTTCTCAGTAGCCTCAAGGGGCTAGTTCCTGCCATATTGTACAGCACAGATACAGAGCATTCCCAGCACAGCAGAACATCCTATCGTACGGTGGTGTTACAGATGATTACAAAGGAGCTCAACACCATGATCCCAGGTTTTCTGGGGTAATAGAACATGGGAATAATCTGAGTTTAGAAAGAAAATGAACACATTTTTTCCTTTCTTTCTAGAGGTACTGATAACTCCCATTTATAAAAGTGATCAGAAAAAACTTTAGTTCTAAATCTGGGCTACTGTCAACAATCTCCAAGATCCCAATGAAATATGTATTCCTTACTCTACAATGGGGGGGCCACTTAATTAAGAGCAAGGGACAGAATGACTCCCAACAACATCCCCCTAATATGAGATCTTAATGCCTAAACTCTAACCCCAAGTTCAGTTAAGTACTTTAGAGGCTCTATATCTTCAGCAAACCTGATCAAGTGGGTAGATACAGGAACACAGAAGTTATTCTTACCCAGGGAGACAAGATTCCTATAATTCTCTAGCATCACATCCTTGTGTAGGTTCCTCTGTGAAGGGTCCATCAACCTCCACTCTTCTAATGTGAAGTCTATAGCCACATCTTTAAATGTCACGGAATCCTAAAATAAATACACTGTGATCACCCAGGGACTACATAATGAGAACTGCTGGGCAGAATAATACATATAAAACTGGAGGAATACTCCAGAAATAAGAATCACCAAATGACCCCTGAAGTCAACTAGTTCAACCCTTAAAGGATGAGTGAATCTCTCCAATGATAAGAACTTAAAACTACAAGAGGAAGCCCATTGCATTTCCTGAGTTCTACTTGAAGCAGGATTTTCTTTTCAGACTAATTCAAATCTGGCTTTCTCAAACTTTGAAATATTGGTCTTACTATATTATCTGGAGCCAAACAGTATGGTTTCCTCCTTACCTAGAAAGTCTTAACATTTGATAACAGCTAGTAGTTTCTACCCAAATCATCCTTTCTCCCTCAAAACCCTGGCCTATCTATACTATCTGCTCTTCCTCAGTTCCAAATCTACAGAATATGACTTAATAAAAGACAGTTTAATCATTCAGATTATAGATACAGAATATTGTAAGCTCTGTCTTTGAGCAAGAAAAGTTAGAAATCCTGGGGACTTTGGAGAACTTCTTTGGTCAGGATATGAATTATATATGTGCTTATATAAAAAAATGTAAGAATGAGCCATAACATTTTTTTAGTGGTTACCTGTTAGAGGAAGGAGGAAATAGAGAGAGTGGAGAGGACTGAAATTAGAAGCTAGACTCTTTTGAATATTTCTCGTTCTGTAGATTTTACTTTTGAACCATGTAAATGTATTATGAGGAAAATTAAAATTTAAAAAAGTCATCCCTAAAAATTAAGAGAAAAATGAAACCAGTTTGAAGCACAGACATCCATCAAAGATGAAATATTTTAAGTGACTTTAAAACATAACAATTTTCTGTATATCCTTTGTGAAATATACCCCAAGAAGAAAAAGAATGGCAAAAAACAAAAGCTGTGTTTTCAATAAATAATCAAACTGTTGGTGGTAGTGATGAAAATGCTATTTTGTAACTGCTGTGTGTGTAGTTGTTTGATAAAGCAAATTAGTGGCAAATTACTGATGCCCCTGAGAACAAATAAATTTGCCATGACAGAAAGAAGATATAAATGTAATATTGATGAGATTATGCAATAATTCCATAGATCCAAATTTGAATTGGAAGTATCAGTATAAACTCATGAATTATTTTAGTTTTAAGGAAAAAATAAAATATATTTCCTAGCTTCATCCACAGAAAAGCCCTAAAAATAAAAACAATAACTAATGAGGTAACATTATGCAAGCTACACTGTGGCTTTTAAGTATTACTTTTCACTAAAAGGAACCAAGGCCTGGAACATTCTGTGACACCAAAAGGCAGGGCAGCTATCAAAGATTACTAAGATCATATCTAGGACACAGGAGACAACTTGAAGAGGCTCCCACTAGTTAATAATAATGGGACAATTTGAACAACAGTGAGGATAATAAATACAATGGGTTTCAAAAACACACATTTAAATTCATGATTTCATAATACTACTCTAAAAATATTCATTGATTATTTTTGGAGGATGCCTGGAAACTGGTAAATAAATAGAAAGAATTAACCGTTTGTCCTTTTCCTATGGAAAATATATATAGCTTGTATAGTAATCAAGTGTGATCACACAGTTGATGAGGAGAGATTTCTCTTTATGGAAGGATTCCAGTTAATACATGATAAGGAACAAAAAAAATTAGAACATCATCATTTTGCAACCTCTAATGAATTAAAGGGTCATCAGTGGCTGTTAATATACCAAAGAGGCCTCAACAAGGCATTATGTGCCTTCTGGTAGTATACACGGGATATATGAGATACTGTTGCCAAAAACATTTCGGAAAGCATCAAATCAGAATCTGATTAAGCCTCTAGATCTAAAGAACGATATACTGGAAATACAGGGAAAAGAGAAACATCTTAAATAACCCTTATTTAACAATCAATAAAATCCATGTTGTATGAAATTCGAAATCAGTACTGTCCAGTAGAAGTATATTGCAAGTCACGTATGTAATTTAAGGTTTTCTAGTAGCCCCATTAAAAATAAAAGGAAACAAGTGAAATTATTTTTAATATTATTTAGCCCAATATATATGCAATATTATAATCTCAACATGCAATCAATGTAAAAATTATTAATGAGACACTCTCTTTTGTATGAAGTCTTTGAGGTATGACGTACATTTTAAATTTACAGGGCATCTCAGTTTGGACTAGTTACGTTTCAGGTGCTCAACAGCTACCTGTGGCTAGTGGCTACTCTCCTGGGCAACACAGCTAGAAAGTACAAATAACATGGGTTTCTTCAATGAATTATTACAAGGAGAAAAAAAGATGGAGGGGGAAAACTCTAGCCTAAAAGTAACCGAAGAGACAACAGTAACCAATCATAACACATAAATCAACTAGGGAAACAAATACCAAGCCAACATTTGATGATATTAAGGCTTTCTGCTGATTTTTAGCTGAAACCATGGTAATATACTTAACATTAAAAAACATGTTATAGATATGTAACAAGATATTTTTTTTAAAATTAAAATATTTTATTTATTTATTAGAGAGAGAGAGTGAGCACAAGAGGGGGTAGGGTCAGAGGGAGAAGCAGACTCCTTCTGACTCAATTCCAGGACTCCGGGATCATGACCTGAGCCGAAGGCAGTCACTTAACCAACTGAGCCACCCAGGCACCCTGATATGTAACAAGATATTTGTAAATGAAATTATATGTCTTGTATATGCTTCAAAATAATTAATGAGAGAGGGTAAGATTACAAATGAAATATGATTACCCAGGGGCTGATGCTTGTTGAACATAGGCATCAGGTACAAAGGGATTCATGAAACCACTCTCTCTTCCTTTGCATACATACAGTGCATAATATTTGTCAGGTGCTGATCTAAGGCCTTGTTATGTAATGACTGAATCCTCACAGTAAGGAAGGTGCTAATAAGAAAAGTGAGGCATGAAAAGGTTCCATGTCTTGCCCAAATTCTCAGAAAAGGTAAAGTCTAGATTCAAATTCAGGCATTTTGACTCCAGAATTCAAACTTATAATCACTAACTCTATGATCTAATAAGCTAAAAATCCCGATTAGCTGATCAGTCAGACCAAGGTCTCAAGTTAGATTATATTTGGCTAAGATTTGCTCTATATCAGAAGAAACAGATTTCTACTGGGGTGTTTTCCTGCCATACAGATATGTATACTTGTCAACTATTTAAACTTCTGTATTTATTTGTACCTGAAAGTCCATGAAGCAAACTTTTCATTCTGCTAATAATAAAATATGGCTAACATGGGAGATAATGACAGTATATAAACTTTATTGTTAATCATGTCACATGTCACTCAAATTATAATGAACTTACTGGGTTTTATTTTCTTTCCCCACCAAGAGCGAAACCCCAGGAAAAACGTAAGAAGGCCCTCAGCTCTCAGGTCTCACCTTTGGCTTACCTTGAGGGTCTGTGCAAGCAAGCGTTGTAAACTGCCTACTTAAGACTACTAAGAGAAGGTATGCCCACCACACACAAAAACCTTTTGGCAAATGCTAGAAAACTTGCTGGCTTAAGGCATTTAAGAAAATCTGTGCCCAGTCATTAACTAATTACTATGTTGACCAAGCAGAGATTTCAGAGATTGCACATGATGAAGAATACAAACTTTACTGAATTAGTCCAGAAAAGTCACTAAACAAACAAAACAGTGCAGCAGCAGCAACAACAAACCCTGGGGAATGAAGAATTGGATTTCTAGAGTTGCCGCATCATTTTATTTAAAATACGTGTTTTGCAATGGATCGTGGATCACCACATCAAAAACCAATTATGTACTGTATGGTGACTAACATAATAAAATTTAAAAAAATAAAATAAAATATGTGTTTTGAAGAAAAGTTACAAAATACACAAAGAAACAAGAAAGCATGGGCCAGGGTTAAAAAAAAGTCAATGGAAAGTGTCCTTAAGGAAGCCAAGAAGTTGTACTTACTAAATGAGGACATTAAATGAGTATTATAAGTATATTCAAAGACCTAAAGAAAAGCAGATCTAAAGAATTAAAGGAAATTATGAAAATGGTATCTCACTAAATAGAAATTCTGTAGTTGAAAAATACAGTAACTGAAATAAAAAAATTCGCTAGAGAGGTTTAGTGAAAGGAAACAGCAAACTGAACAGCAATAGAGTGTGAATGTTTGTCTCCTTCTCCTTCCCCCTATTCATATGTTGAAATCATAATGCTCAATGTGATGACATTAGGAAGTGGGGCCTCTGGGAGATGCTTAAGTCATGAGGGTGGAGCAATGCCTTATAAAAATGGCTCCAGAGAGATCCCTAGCTCCTTCTGCCGTGTGAGATTACAATGAGAAATCTGTGACCCAGAAGAAAGCCTTCATCTGACCATGCTGGCCCTGATTTCAGACATCCAGTCTCCAGAACTGTGATAAATAAATTTCCATTCTTTACAAGCCACCCGGTCTATTGTATTTGTCTATAGAAGCCCAAACAGACTAAAATAAGCAGGCGCAAAAAAAAAAAAAAAAAAAAAAAAGAATTGGTGAACTTGAAAATAGATAAAATGACATTATCTAGACTAAGGAACAGAGCAAAAAAGAATGAAAAAAGTGAACAGAACTTCAGAGACCTGTGGGACAATGAGCATACCAATATATGCATGATGGGAGTCCACGAAGGAGAGGGGGAAAAAGTGGCAGAAAAAATATTTAAATAAATAATTGCTGGGGCACCTGGTGGCTCAGTCGGTTGAGCATCTGCCTTCTGCTCAGATCATGATCCCAGAGTCCTGGGATAGAGCCCTGCATTGGACTTCCTGCTCAGTGGGGAGCCTGCTTCTCCCTCTCCCTCTGCCCCTGCCTCCCCACTCATGCTCTCTCTCTCAAATAAATTAAATAAATAATTTTAAAAAATAATGGTCAAAAAACTCCCCAAATTTGATGAACATTAATCTCCACATACAAGAAGCTCAATGAACACCAAGTAGGATAA